TCTCCTGTATTACATGGCCCGCGCCTGTCGACAGTTCTTGCCTCACCGCGCCCGTTGTCCCACCTCGCTTCCCCGGGGTTACCCGTAATACACGACCCGTGTCTCCTGCAATACATGGCCCGTGTCTGTCGACAGTTCTTGCCTCACCGCGCCCGTCGTCCCGCCTCGCTTCCCCGCAGTTACCTGCAGCACACAGTCCGTCTCTCCTGTAACACACAGCCCGTGTCTCCTGTATTACATGGCCCGCGCCTGTCGACAGTTCTTGCCTCACCGCGCCCGTTGTCCCACCTCGCTTCCCCGGAGTTACCTGCAACACACAGTCCGTCTCTTCTGTAACATGCGGCTCCTGAAACACGCGGCCTACGTCTCCTGTAACACGCGGCCCGTGTCCCGTGCAACACATGGCCCGTCTCTCCTGCAACATGCGGCTCGCGGCTCCTATAACACATGGCCCGTCTCTCCTGCAACACACGGCCGGCGATTTCTGTAACACACCGCCCGTCCCTCATGTAACACGCGGCCCGCGTCTGACGACAGTTCGCCAGCCGTCCGATGCTGCCGCCACCAGTAACAGCCCGCGGTACACCCGCGTTCCTACCGTGACGGTCTTCCGGACCGGTACCTCGGTGCCCGCATCGTTACGTCCATCACACTCTGCCGTGACGGTCTCCCGGACCGGTACCTCGGTGTCCGCATCGTTACGTCCATCACACTCTGCTTCAACACGACCATGACTGTGCGCCTTTGAGACACACTCTGATTCAACACGTTCATGAAGTGCGCTTGATTAGCCTGCGCGGATGATGATGTACGGACTTGCATGTCGTTCACCGTCCGTAAGAGCATGCCAGGTTGTGCTTGCGGCAATCTAAGCCCGGCGCAGCTGAACAAGGGAATGTCTCTCGCAACGCACTCTGATCGGCGTGCCTTATTGTCTCCCAGGCTGATCGCTGATACCACTGGGTTCAGAGCCGCATTGGGGGAATGAGCTCAATGTTGGGGTTTGTGCTGTATGGACAGCATGTGCCTGTCTCTGTGCTGATTTGTCTGTCCCGTGCTGACAGCACTTGCCTGTCCCCAATCTGTCACGTCTGTCCCGTGCTAGCTGCAGGTGCCTGTCCTGGTTTGAACCTTGTTTCCTGTGCTGACAGCGTTCGCTAGTCTCTGAGACAGAATCTGTCTATTGTGTTAAAGGCTCGTGCCTGTCTCTGAACTGAAAGCTCTGTCCCTGAGCTAACCAGCCTGTTTCTGAGCTTACCGGTCTGTTTCTGAGCTTACCGGTCTGTCCCTTTGCTCACCGGTCTCTCCCTGAGCTGACAAGTCTATCCCTGAGCTGACGGGGCTGTCCCTGAACTGACAAGTCTGTCCCTGGGCTGACAAGACTGCCCACGAGCTGACGAGTTTGTCCCTGACCCGACCGGTGTATCCCTGATCAGACGGGTGTGTCCCTTAGCTGACGAGTTTGTATCTGGCTTGATGGGCCAGTCCCTGAGTTGATAGCTCTGTCCCTGAGCTCACGGGGTGTACCTGACCTGACGAGTCTGACCCTGGCTGATGAGTTTGTCCTGAGCTGACGGGTCAGCCCCTGAGCTGACGGGTCGGCCCTGAGCTGACGGGTCGTGGCCCCTGAGCTGACGAGTCTGAACACCTGAGCTGATGAGCTTGTCCCTGGGCTGATGTGGTCAGCCCCTGAGCTGACGGGGGCTGTCTGCCTGTCCAGCTGCAGGAGCGGCCGCCCGGGATGGCGACGCAGGCCGTCCGCCGGCTCGGCAGGGGTCTGCAGGCGGCCGGCAGCGCCGTGCAGAATGCCCTGCGTCTCCTCACCAGGTCTGGCCAGCAGCAGCGCCAGCAACAGCACCAACACGCCTAGTGCTGGCTTCCGCGACACCAGGCCTGGCCAGCAGCAGCGCCAGCAACAGCACCAACACGCCTAGTGCTGGCTGCCGCGACACCAGGCCTGGCCAGCAGCAGCGCCAGCAACAGCAGCAACACGCCTAGTGCTGGCTTCCGCGACACCAGGCCTGGCCAACAGCAGCGCCAGCAACAGCATCAACTCGCCTAGTGCTGGCTTCTGCATCACCGGGCCTGGCCAGCAGCAGCATCAGCAACAGCACCAACTCACCTAGCGCTGGCTTCCGCAGGCTTCACTGCGCGCAACAGTTGTGTAGCGAAGCCGTTGGGGCCTGTGGTGGCAGCCGAGCCTTTGGACCTGGCTGGAGCCACATGACTGTTTTTAAGGCACTTAAAATCGTAAAGCAGGAGATACTTGAGTTCTAATCTAACGGAAATACCACTATGTTGCACTCCCGCAAATAGATTGAAATGAACAATTCTTGAATGTAAGCTACTTGTCAAAAAAGGAAATATACCACATGAATCATGAGGCATGGACGTCTGCATATATAACTGAAAACGCATTTTTGGGTCGGCCCGGTCTCCCAATTTGCCATAGAAAAAGGAAATAGCCAGTTCTTTCTTCATAATTTAAACTAGACCATTACATGCAGCTTGTATCACTTG